TTTGCCATGCCGGCTTGCTGGTAGAAGTATGTCGAGTATCCCATGAACGTCGAGCCGCAAAGAGTCTGAATGGCCCATGTGACGCAGACGATCTCGGTACGGCGAAGGTCGGTGCCCTTGAAGCAGTCAATGTAGCTTGTTCCACTCTGCGCGGCCTTCTCGAGCTCGTTGGTGTGGACCATCATGGAAATGGTCTCGTCGGCGTTGAAGTTTTGCTGTTGGTTGCGGCTGGTGAGGCGGATGAGAGACTTCTTGGCGTCGTCGAGGCGCTCCTTGCGGATGAGCCACCAGGGAGATTCGGGAGCGAAGAAAATGCCGATGATGAGGGGAACGGGCCACATCCACTGAAGGGCAAAGGGAATCTTGTATCCCCACTCGTCAGTACGGGTGATGACACCTCGAAGAACACCGCTGGCAATGAGTTGACCGATGACCCAGCAGAGATTGACATAGGTAGTCTGAATAGAGAGTTAGCGATTAGCCCAAAAAAGGATCTGGCGGGAATATTGTGGCTCACAAGGTAGGCTCGCAGATGTGTGGGGCAGACCTCGGAGGCGTAGGTGACAGTGAGGGTCTGGAAGATACCCCATGGAATACCAATGAGCATCTCTCCGATCAAGAGCTGGACAAGGGTCTCGGAGAAGAAGATGATGAAGATGAAAGCCGTGACGCCAACGAGGCCACCAATCATGGTCTTGCGGTATCCGTATCTCTCGGCAATGATACCGTTGAGGAACAGGCCGGTGATCTCGCCGACAAGCGCGCCGTTACTGAGACCAGCCTGCCACGCCGCAGTCAACTGATAGCTGCCGTCGGGCTGGATCTCACCAAACTTGCGCTGGAAGACGTCGTAGGCATAGAGGTTGCCGATGAGGGTCTTGTCGAAACCCTCCATGATGACGGCGGTGCTGAAGAAGAGCGACCACATCACGGCCCTGGGGTAGAGCTTGATCGATGCCATGAGGCCCATACTGAGCTCGGCCTCGGTCGCTTTGGCCGCCTCACGAGCGAGCCCGGCGGCGTCGGCGTCGGCGATGGACATGCGGCGGGTGGCCTCCGAGTCGATCTGGATGGTCTCGGTCGGCGCCCTGCCCGCGGATGATCCGATGTGCACCATGGTTGCGGTGTACTGGTGTAAAAAATGGGGAATGAAGAAGGATTGATAAACCGGGGATGAATGTGGGTTCGGGCTCGATCTTATAAGATCAGAGCGGATGTTCTAAGACTCCTGTCAAGGGGAATCGAAGATGCTCGAGCTTGAATTGTTGTCAATCCCAATGAAGTTGCTGAAGCTGATGTTCTGAAGATGTGTTGAGACTGGGGATATCAGATCATCTTATATCTTGTCTAGACGTTTGCTCGATCAACCTGATGCTATGCGCCAAGGAGGTGGTGGTGATAGTTCTTCCCGGAGAAGCAAGGTAGTCGATTAAGCGGCGCGGCTTCTCACTGGCTCGCTCAAATTCAATTCCAAGGTGGCGGAAAGAAGGTATGTATGATGTTGACGTTATGGACCATCCGTGTCTTAAGTCGCCGCACTTCAATGCAAGAAGACAGAACCAAAGAACCCCAAGGCTTCCTTTTCGCCCGTTCCCCCTAGCAGTCTAGGACCCAAGGCTTGGAATCCGGGACTAAGGACCACGCTATGCTCCACTTTCTCCGCGACCCATTGGCTCGCGCGGGGAAAGTCGAGGGATGGATGGTCTGGGGTTGGAGATGCAGTGTGGTTGGTACTTGTTTGCTGGTTGGGGATTGACAGCGAGATGTCTCGAACGGCTGGGTCGCATATGGATGTGGATGGGTCAAGTATTGGGAAAGGAAAGGGGTGGGAGGGTCACGGCAAAAGGAGAAGAAACCCACATCAGACAAAGTACGGGATAGCATTGCTTAGGCTCTAGCGGACACTTCTCGCCTCACCCAAAAGGAGAGAAAAACTGTCAGCCCAAAACTCAAAAAGACAAGACCACAGAGTGAGACGGTAGTGCCAGCTGGATGTCTAGACTTGCCGTACCGTACACTAGAAGTGTTCGCCGGCGACACCGCGTACATCCCTGCGCACATGTGGCGTACCTGATGCTGCTTCGGGTCAGCGAGCCTTTCCCACCAGGGAGTAGCTTGGTAGGGATCCTGTGCAAGAATCCATGTCTGACGAATGGCGGCACAGAGATTATTCGGCGATTCCACCCACCGGCAATTGGGGCGAAGATTTCTGCGAGATTTCGTATGGCGGAACGGCCAATAGGTCTTCTTGCCTGACGTCGCTGAAACTAGGCATCCCTACCACAGACACTTGCAGATGGGATGACTGTCGCTGTGGGTGTTCTGGGGTTGGCGTTGGTTGCTCCTGTTGGTTCAAATTCCCTTTCTTTACGATCCTGACAGTTGGGGGCTGCGAGTGAGAGGAGAGATCTAGCAGCGATCGACCCCCATCAAGTTATCCCACTATTGCCGTACACTACTACGTACGTGTGCCGTTTCCGTACCAACTCCCAACAGACAAGCGCCTTTTTCTTAGCAAACCGCCTGATGATCGAACGGCGAACGGCAGCGTTCTTCCCCGCGTAGCCTCCCGCAGATACATCAAGAATATTGCGGGACGCTAGGCGGGGATTGGTGCCAGAGTTCCAGCGATTGGTCGGTACCGTCTTTACGCAACGTTGAAGGTTCGTTGGTCTGGTCTCTGGTCTCTTGTTTGAGTCTCTGGCGGGGGTACGGTGGAGTGAGGATACTTGGGATTTCAAGAAGAAGGTTGGGCGGGTGAGCGCCCCCAGACTGAACGAGTTCCAGGTCCGCGAAACTCAAAAAAGCACACTGGCGTATCACGCGCGAGCAGAATTTCGCTGAAATTAGGAGCTCCTCTCAACCATTCCCTAATCTTTCTGCCCAATTTCGTTCGGCGCGATGCCGGCCTCACCTGGATTTCTGGGTCAATCGTCGAGGCTCGACCAAGTCAACACCATCTCTCCCCACGGGGACAATGTGGAACAAAGAGGTCGAGTCCGGGGATGGAACTTGTGGTGGACACAAGATCAAGCAAGCATCCGACAGAGCCAATAAGTCCCCTTTCCACCTGCCACGTTGTCGTCATTGCTCGCTTATGCGACATCCCCCCGCAGCCCATCGTGATCATCCCGAGTCTTGGCCCTCCAATCATCTCCAGATGTAGAAACCAAGCTCACCGGATAGATCTTACACGTGCCTCGGATATCGACGGGCAGTCAGCAAATGATCGAATCTACTGCCCAAATCCATCGTATCTAAGTGACACGACAGGATATATGATATATCTCGATTTCTTCAGGGCAATGCATAGTGCGGCTCTGTCAGATCTACAGTCAGATCCTTAGACAGACAACCGCAAATCTGGCCAACCCAGATTTGAATGCGGCTTAGGGCGAACTCATTATCGTGTCAATGAGACGTGAACCTAGAAAATGACTAGCGATTGAGGCTGACGAAGGCTACCACACAAGACTGCCAACGGGAGTGACAAGGATGGCACGAGTATCCCGCTGTACGATCCGGATAGGATTATCGCGAGTCACGAGTCACGGCTCCGTTCGATGTGCACCGTAAGTGGAGCCATAGGTAATCGGGTTCGGGCCTAAGCCCATCGTTACCGCAGCATCAAAATGGGGCAGCACCAAGTGGCCGGGTCCGTCTCATCTCCACGGCTCCGATTATCACATGCTAGGCCCGCCGGCTGTCTTCCGAAGTTTCCGGAACCCTTGAGCCCGGACCCGTCCCCGGGCACCAGGCTCCGCCCCGCACCAGTCACGGAAGCGGTAGAAGTAGTACGGACAGAATACCCCGCCATCGGGAGAGCACAGCAGAACTTGGCCATTGTAGAGATAACAATAGCCCATAGTCCTGTCTGTTCCTGTCGCAATCCATTCATCTCTTAACTACCCGCCTAATGAAAGTCAGGTTATCGTTGCCTTATGCAATCAAAATTATGGCTCTATGGTTCTGACATGATCACGGGTTAGCAGATAATGCATTGGCTTCACGACTTGGGGCGGAATGGTGATTATTAGGAGTTGAACGCCACGCTAAGCTCAAGGACAACGAGCGGGTGTGCTTTAGCAAGTTCGCAGACAACCCCTGGGCATGGATGGAGCCTACTTTGAGACTGTGGCTGCCACAATCCATGATGCGCCATTGAGCTAAGCTTTTTTGAGGGATATTTATGATGGCAAGAAGCGTAAGAGTCACCCCGTGCAATGTTCATTCGCTTTGATGTTGAGAATACCTACGATATACCAGCATCCGGTGTCCCTCTGTGCCGACTATTCAATCATCGATATCAAGGCAAGTAGTATTGGATCCGGCCGTTCTTCGTATTCGTGTCCATGGCTCTGCGAGCAGCACGGACAGGTCAGACCGGCGCCTTTCCACAATAGGCTCGAAATATGGGTCTCCCGAAGACCAGCAATTTCATCAGAAAGCATGGTAAAGCGGAATGATGCCTGCAGAAAGGACAGAACGTTTCGAGAGATATCCACAAATTTCATCAGAATCCTCCATTGAGTGAGGACACGGCTCTACGGGAGCGAACGGGTTGTTGCATCATCTTCGCGATCCACCGTCTTTCCCATTTGGGCAGGGTTGACGAATCAGAGAGACTCCAGAGCTTTGCCCGAGTTGACGGTTCTGGCATCCGCAGTGGGGGTAGAGAGGCGCATTCGTATTCGGATTTTATTGCCATCGAGGAGCTTATCACGTATTCGTGTCTGACATCTCAGCCTCCCTTACTTTGTGAATGATAGAATCAATATGTCCAACTTATTGAATTGATGGTTGAAAGCAACGTTGAAGAAAAATCACTTAAAAGCAGAGGAGACGCTCGTGTTGATAAAAAAGGATGACAACACTTCGAGAACTACGTCTTTCAACAACCTCTGCCAAGTTTCTACCAATTCTGGGCATCGCAAATCAACCGTTTCCAACTCTATTACAAGTCACAGTCATCTACAAATCCGACCTCGTCATTCATCATAATGGTTGGAACTATTCCAGAGGAAGGGCAGATGCTCTTGGCCAAAGATGCCACGTTTGAGAAGATTCTCCACAAGGGAACGTCCAAAGACGTCGGCATGTCAGCAATGTTGAAGAAGGACTACGAAGCCCAGAAGGCGGCCACGGACGAGTACTTCAGTCATTGGGATAATAAGAGCGCACAAAAAGAAACGAAAGAAGACCGTGATGTACGTCCAATATTACGAGCACACTTTTACCCAACTTTGCCTAACTATTGCTACCATACAGGCTCGTACAGCAGATTACGCTTCTCTTACTCGGCAGTAAGCTCGATCCTCACATTAAGAAGCAATCTTGTGGTCTAATTGTTGGCTTTCTAGATACTACAACTTGGCGACCGATTTCTACGAGTATGGCTTCGGCCAAAGCTTCCACTTTTCTCGCCCTTCTGCCGGTGAATCTTTCAAGCAGAGCATCGCAAGACACGAACACTACCTCGCCCACGTTATCGACATTAAAAAGGATATGAAGGTACTGGACGTTGGCTGCGGCGTGGGCGGACCTGCTCGGGAGATTGCCAAGTTCACAGGGGCGTACATCACCGGTCTCAACATCAACGAGTACCAGGTGGAACGGGCCACGAGGTATGCTGTGAAATCCAAGTTAGATAAGCAGCTCCAATTCGTCCAAGGCGACTTCATGGTATAAACCCTTACCTTCGATAAATCACACCTACAAGCCTAACTGACAACAAATGCTCAACAGAACATTCCCTTCGAAGACAACACCTTTGACGCGGTCTACGCTATCGAAGCCACAGTCCACGCCCCGTCCCTACAAGACGTGTACTCCGAGATCTTCAGAGTCCTCAAGCCTGGTGGCGTCTTTGGCGTCTACGAATGGGTCATGACGGAAAAGTACGACAACGAAGACCTCCGTCTGCGCAAGATTCGCATCGACATCGAACAAGGAGACGGTATCGCCAACATGGTCAAAGCATCAGAAGCTGTACGCGCCTTCCAAGCAGCGGGCTTCGAGATGATCCAGAACGAGGACATGGCAGAGCGTCCGGATCCGAGCCCGTGGTACTGGCCGTTGGACGCGGGTAGCTGGAGACACGCGCAGACGGTGGGCGACTTGCTCTACACCTTCCGCATGACTGGGCTGGGACGGGCTTTTACGCATGGGTTCCTTGGACTTATGGAGACTTTGAGACTTGCCCCTCCTGGGATGATGAAGATGTCAGATAGCCTTTGTGTCGCTGCTGATGCGCTTGTTCTCGGTGGCAAGGAGAAGATTTTCACACCCATGTACCTGATGGTAGGACGCAAGCCTGCGAAACAGGAGTAGACGCTTGCGCAGCCATTTCATCTTCCCACTTCGACATCGAAGCAAGACTAGAACTATAGACCTTTTACAAGTTGATAATGCCTGGCAAGTTGCGTTTCGCCTCTTCTGTGTGAAGGTCCCTGAAGGGGGCGGGGGGGGGGGGGGCGTGATCCGACTAGAACTATAACAAGGAGCAGAGAATGAAGGGCAAGGAACATGCAAAGAAAGGCAAAAAAAAAGCAAAAAAGGTTCCAGGAAGCAAAAGAATGGACGATCTGGGAATCGAACCCAGGACCTACCGCATGCTAAGCGGTCATTATACCACTAAACCAATCGCCCATGATGATCTAGCCCGGACTTGAACCGGAGACCTTCAGTGTGCTCAGGTCGAGTTGCCTCGAATCTGTTAGACTGACGTGATAACCAACTACACCACCAGACCATTTGAATTGTTGAAGACCGAAGTGGAAATTAGGCAATAGGAATCATTGCGGTGGGAGGGTGAGGAAGTGTGGGATTTGAGTCGTGAAGCGAGTGAGGAAAGCCCTGGTGGGGCCGTGTCTGCGGGGCGGAGTCTAGACCGGTGGTTGAGCCGGAGCTGAGGCCCCGAAGCAGACGGGCCTGGCCGAGAGGGCTGAGGTGAGACCGCCAGCGCCTCGAAAGCCCCTTACGTAAAGTTCTCCGCTGGCCTGGAATAACCCTCTTAAAACAACAGGTGAGCTGTCTCAGAAGCCTCCGAGACTCTCCTAGAAATCGTTGAGAAGTATCATGATGATAGGCTGATAGATGATCAACCGGATTCTTGAGCTCGACCAACATTTAGAAAGGTTTGCCCCACTTCCTGGAGAAATGAGCACGTCAATTCATAGAAGTCGGTTGACTAGACGCAGTGTCACTCGACAACGTGGTTCATGGAAGAATCTGGACAAGGGCTCCGCGTGGCTTGGATTCCCGAACGCCTCCGAACCCAAAGAATGAAAGGACGATTGAGTCTGAGAGCATTTCCGGACGAGACCCAGCTCCGCATACATGAATTTCACAGGCTGATTTAGTCTGGGCGTCGCGGCATTGCATATGCGCCCTGCATCGTGTGCATTTCGTGAGGGGTAATGATTCTCTAGCCCCCGGAGTAATATTCAAATGCTTGGGCTTCAGACTTGGGACAGCAAGAGGGGATTATTGCTCTGGGCAATGCAAGAAGTGTATAAGCGTATTGTTCGTACATGGCTGCTCTATCCCTGCGACTAACACTCGACACAAAGGACCTTGCATGATTGATGTTGTTCCCGATCGGGGCCGCATAGAGTCTCTCTTTGACTTTCGCGAAGTCCATAAGCTTATTCCACGGGATGATGGACCCAACCAATGTGAAGTATTTCTGTTGCATTGGAGCAAGGTTTACCCCATTTTCCGTAGATTAGGCTTTACCACCAGCCAACTGCATTTCTTACCTGTCCCTGCAGCCTGCCCTATTGCACCTGCAGATATCCTCTAATAACCCCCATCACACACCGTCACCTCAGGCAGAATGATCTCCATCTCGCTTGATTCTCAGCGGTTGGAGTCAACCTTGGCTGCGTCCAACATCTCGTCTTTCCCAACAGGCAAATGCTCTGCAACATCCCGTGCCATTTCTGCCGCATCCCATCATGGCCCGGAGTCTCCATTTTCCACCACTGGCAGTGGAGCGCCATCGCTAGCCGGATCTTGGCATAGCCTTTCCGTGGTTGCGTGGCTTGTCCAAGGTGCTCGACCTGGTATCCTGGATGACTATCATTGGTGATGGCTTCTGCAATTTCTGCAAGGCATGCAGGGTTCTCCGCATGCTCGTAGGAAAATGTTCATGACGTTCATAGAATCGCGGAATAGCTGCAGATCGAGTAGCTTGGAACCTGGCTCGAGGCTCGGTTCGGGGTTTGAGGGATGCTGATTGACTAGCAGACTGTGAGCTCATGGATGCAATAGATGGTATATAAGTAGGACCAGGCACTGGCCTTCCAGTCAATGGGCCGTTCTTGTAGATCACGCAATCTGTTGTCAGTAGTGGTCATACTCCCCTCTGTGTCTTCTTTTCCGGCCCCTGTTCCTTCTCAAGATAATTACCACTATGAGAGTCAGCGTCTCGGTAGTTTTCTGCGCCTTCCTAGGCTTAACCACTGCCAATCCCCTCGATTGGCTCGGCCTTGCCTCTTGGGAAGTTGAAGGCTTCGCGAAAGACAACCCACTTGGCAAGACTACCGGAGGCAAAGGCGGCCCGACCGTGACAGTCTCAAGTGTTCCTGAGCTTCAGACCGCGGTGGTAGGCAGTGATCCCAAGATTGTGGTCCTGAAGGGCGAATTCGTCTTGCCTGCACGCCTCAACGTCGGATCCAACAAGAGCTTAGTTGGCTACAAGAACACAGCACATATTACCGGCAAGGGTCTCAATGTCTACAACGCAACAAACGTCATCTTGCAGAATCTCAAGATCAGCCACATCCTGGACAACGACTGCATCACGATCCGTAACTCTACTAGGGTCTGGGTGGATCACAACGAATTCACCTCAGATATTACCAAAGGCCCGGACTTCTATGTAAATGACCTTCTTCCGCATGAGCTTCCTAATTGGAAATGTTGCTAACTCCAATCAAACAGGACGGTCAGGTTGATATTATCCGTGCCTCGGACTGGATCACTGTTTCCTGGAACTACTTCCACGACCACTGGAAGTCATCCCTCGTTGGGAACGATGCCACATTCCGCGATCTCGACTTTGGCCATCTTCACGTTACATACCACCACAATTATTGGAAGAACGAGGGCACTCGCGGGCCTGCAGGTCGCTTCGGACACCAGCACATCTATAGCAACCTCTACGAAGATTTCCTCTATCAGGCCATTCACTCTCGCTCCGATAACCAGGTTCTCGTCGAAGGCAATGTCTTTCGCGGAAACACCCGTGAGGCGCTCAGCACTTACGGCCTCGTAATCCCCGATGATTCTCCAAATACTTGTGTCTGTGGTGACGAAGAACTGGATGGCTTTGCTAATCTTGGTGCACGTATGTATTTGCTTATCCCGTCACTTGTTCGTGACTATCTTAGGATATGCTAACATGGTAATAGCCAATGACTGGGGAAAAGCTGGTGTCAACATCACCCAGAAGGGTACCTTCTACAAGGCGCCCTACCAGTTCAAGCTCACTCCTCTGCATTTGGTAGCACCCATTGTCAAACTTGGTGCAGGAGTTGGCCGAGTTTGAAGTACCTTACTAGAGCCGATAGAGTGAAAGAGCCATATAAGTAGACAGAGTACTATCCGAGAAACTCAGATAAAATTGCGGGACTTTTGTTAAGCTGGCGCGAGATCCTACGTGACAGATCGCATCAAATCGCTTCTTCGAGCTTAGGCAGACGTTTGTGTCATCGCAAGTCGGTATCAGACGACAACCGCATTGGCCACACTGACACTGAGATGGTTATGGGGGTGGCCAGGGCGACTACATGTACCCTTCATGGAACAATAATCGGCATGTAGTCGTAGAGAATTGATTCAGTCGAGTATTAACTGATAAGAGCGGCGCCGCAGGTGCGCATAGCACAAACGCCAGTGATGTCGTTGCGAACGGCCATGTCTTTCCAACCCCAAACTTCAGAAGACCATAGAGTCCAGCTCTAGTCCCCAGACGAACCGTAAAGTCTCCCACAAATTTAGAAGCGTAATTTCTCTACATTATTCAGCAAGAAGTTGAAGCTGTCCTGTCGGAAATCATCATCTATCAAATCCGCACTCTTGGCCATCATGTGCAGCATCTTATTTCCGTCTCTCCACTTAGGCCAATCGATCAATTTCACCTTTGCCTTCCCCGTGCCTCCAGAGGAGTCATTGGGGTCCAGATTGTAAGCGAAGTTAAAGTAGTACGCCCGCGTCGCCGAAGCAGCGTAGTTCGGCTTGATCCCGTAAAATACTTGGAGGAGATCCGATCCGTGGAATGTTCCGAGGACAGGAGTACCGTAGTCGTAACTGGCGAGGTAGCTCCAGGTGTTGACTTCTGGCTGGACTGTTTGAGAGATGTTGAACACAGCTCGACGGGTGAGGGTGAAAACCGTGTCACCTAAGATGGCAGCTAGTCTCTTGAACTGCGGCCGGACTTCGTTGAACCCTGCGGTTCTGAACGGCGATCCTTCAGAAGGGCGGGCAGCGTAAGTGCCTACTAAGTCCTTGATCTGCTGCGGGGAGGCATTGTTGAAGTAGAGTTCGCCGAGGTATTCTTCAACCTCTCGAGTCCTGGTGATGTTCGGTTGGAATAAAGCGAAAAGGGTGCCCTCGTCTTCTTGATCTCCTAAAATGAAGGGCACCTTGGGGAGCTTCCCAGAAGTAGCAAATACTTCTGGGCTTGACACTATGTTCTTCCCGTCAGGTCTCGGGAGGTAGGAAAGAGCTACTGAGCTGTAACTCAAAAGGCCTGGCACAGAGTTTGCAGCTTTGCGCATGTCCTAGCCGCATATGTCAGCCATAACAGTCAGAGATAGAGGTACACTAGATAGCCTTACATCGTAAGAGAGATCTCGCAGGCACTTTAATCGATCAGGCGCTCCATCACATCCGGCAGCAGACAGGACCTTGTCATAAACCTTTGTGGCTTTAGGAGAGTCCATTGGATCAGTCGGAACAGCAGATCCGGAGTTCATTATGGCGCCGCGGAAGAGGGCCTTGCCATTGCGTGTGATGTTGCCGTTGTGGAGAGAGAGTTGACTGAAGATTGATATAGCGCCAGCCGACTCTCCCCATAGAGTGACCTTGTCCGGGTCGCCACTAGAAGACAAGCAATCAGCATCTTTGACTTTTTCATTTTGGTTCAGAGGGACTATGAGACCTACCCAAAGCTAGCAATGTTGTCCTGGACCCATTCTAGTCCCATTCGTTGGTCCAGAAGACCGGCGTTAGAGCTGCCTTCCTGCATGAGGTCCTTGCCCGGCATGAATCCCCAAGCACCCACACGGTAGTTAACTGCCACGAAAACGAATGGCTTGCCGGTA